GCCCTTGGTCGTCAGGACCAAAGTCTTATCATCGGCATAGAAAGTCGAGGTTAGGCCAGGGATGGGCCGGAGCAGCGACGCCAAAGATAGGGTGGAGGTGGCGTAGAGGAGGGGTCCCAAGATGCTTCCTTGGGGGACCCCTCTCTCTAGCGAGATGGTCGCTTGGTCAGCTCCAAACTCCAGCTGGACGTGTTGTCCAGAGAGCCAGGATTTTACCACAGTGCAGAGGTAGGGAGCCACGCCTAGGCCTGAGAGCTGTTGGATAAGAAACGAATGCCTTACTGAATTGAAGGCATTGGACTCGTCCAACGTGAGGAGGAGGGTCTGGTGGCCCTTCTTCCCGCAGCCAGCTCGGTAGGCGTCGATGATTCTCCTCAGCGCAGTGTCGCAGCTTCGGCCCCGGCAGAAGCCATGAATCTCTGGCACTCGGAACTTCTCCCCTAGGCCGTGGATAAGCCTTTCGGCTATCACGGATTCTAAGAGCTTCGAGGCACACCTAAGGAGAACTATTGGGCGCCAGCCCGAGGGCTGGAAGATGTCGCGGCCGGGCTTGGCCAGGGCAATGCATTTGCCCTCCTTCCATTCGGCAGGGAACTCGCCGGATCTAAGGATGTCAGTGAAGGCCGTGGCCCATTTGGCCGCCAGCTCAGGCGCCGTCCTCTTCAAAACTTCAGCATTGACGCCGTCGCTCCCAGGGGCAGAGATCTTCAGACGGCCGATGGCTTCCAAGACCTCCTGTTCGGTTACTGCTGGGATGCGATCTGCCGAGCCTACACCGACGCGAACCTGGGCCATCCCCTGGGACCGCCTAGGGTCCCGAGGGAATAGCTTCTCTAGCAGATGGGCTGCTTGGTTGGTGCTTGGGTCGCCATTCAGTATCGCTGCCGCTGACTTACCCGTCGGTGGCCGACTACACTTGGAGAAGTCTTGGAGGGACGCATAGAAGCGGTCCCTTGCCCTCTTCTTGGCTGCTCGGGCTTCTAACCTGAAGAGTCTCCTTCTCTCGGTCAGCTCTTCTTTCCAGTGCTCGGTTCCGATGAGGTTGCCATCCCTCTTCGCCTTGTTCCACTTCTTGGTCGCCTTGTTAAGGCTCTGTTTC